TCGGGTTAGCTTCGCTGTTTAGATGCGCTTTGGATTGCGTTGTGTTTAACGTTCTTAGTAGTTTAAGTAATAAGTAGTTTAAGTGTAATTACTGATTGTATTCTGTGATACTATGGAGAGTTGTATGACTATTTTTGTGGAAACTTCCAGTACTTTGAAATGCTTCTTTCGATAAAATAATTTTTTTCAACCTATCATCGGGTCTGTGTGCAATCTATTATGAAACCATACCTACCCAAAAATATGTACAATACTGTTGCGTGCGTACGGGTTCGTTATGAAATGAATGCACAAGTCCGATGAAAAATGAACAAAAATTTATTATTATCACAACAAAAATGCTTAAATTTTCTCAAATTATCATGCAGTATTACAATATCTCACAGTAGTTATCTTTTAACTACTCAAATGTCCAATAGAACGTAATTCAAAACAGCTAAAGAACGCTAATCCGCGAATTCGCTACAATCAACAAGAGCAGTTTTCTAAACAACAACAAACTAAGCAACTACTACAAACTGAGATGTTTTCCTCCTTTTATAAGATTTTAAAATCACGCGCTAGAATTTTTCCAGTACTTTCTCGAAATCAAAAAGAGATATTTATTTATTTAATGCACGCGCTCTTGTATTTTTAATTTTTCCGGCTTAGCTTTCTTTTAATATTCGTCACGCGCTGCACTGCGCGAGAAATAAAACCATTTAATTTATAATTGAACTAACATTAGCTTTTTAAATACCAAATTCGTAACAATACTTTACTTTCGCCTGAAATATTTCTATTGGAGACCTTATAATCTCTAAAGATGCAGACTGAGGCCTGATTTTTGTTTAAATCAGTAGAAGCTTGAAAGCGCCAGTGAAGTGTCCACGGAACCAATTTCATCGTTCTTCTCAGTCAGCTTCAATGTACAGTGCTGTTCTGTTATAACATATTACTGTTCCACGGTTTCGGATGTAATTTGGCTGTTGCGGGAAGCCACATATACATAAAGCGACGCTGAGATAACTTGCCTTGAAACAAAACTAAACTCGTACTCTTCGCGTGCCAAAATCTTCCTCTATGAAAAATGAGATTTTTAAGTCTTTAGTTTGTTAGTTTTAAAAAAAATCTCCGTCTGCGGAAGATTCGAAATTGTCGATGACCAAAGATTTTACTTCAGAGGGAAAAATATAAAGACAAGCGATTGTTCATAATTTTAGAAATTCCTTTTAAAAATAGTTTTAAATAAAGTACATATGTTTGTGAAATGCGCATTAAATTGCAAATAAATATTTATGATATGAGCCGTATAATTCTATTTCTACTCTTTATATTTATGTATATAATTTTGATTTAGCAGCGTTTAGAAAAATAAATATTTTGTTCCAACATGGTTCAACGGATAATTTGTTCAAAATTTCCATTTAAATTTATTTCTTTGGAATTTATTCATAAATTCCTCTTAAGTAAAATTTAAGTTTGTAGTAAAAATATGGCTTTTATTGTCATACTTTTCGAAGCAGTTTTTATTCAAAATTTTAATGTGGCAACAATGAAATTCAGGAATTCTCTTTTATGCATTCGGATATTTTCAGTTCATATTGGATTTATATGATGGATTTGGTTTATATTTAGAAGTAACACAAGGAATAGAAAATGTTCTGTAGCGCATGAATATATTAAATGTTACTAGTAAGTTAATTTCATTATTATTCATCACATACTTCATTAGTTTAAATAGTTCTGTAAATCTCAGTACGTTATCTAATACATCAAATGATTACACAAAAGTAAAAAAGAAAGTTATTTCTTGGATGCTAAGAACCAAATGTTACAGAACATCTTCAGTTGGTTAAAATTGTTTTTATGATGCTAAAAAGTACAAATAAATTGTTTGTTTTTGGTTTTCAAGTTTGCATATAATCACCTATTTTCTTATATGCACTTTACCTATTTTTACATTGGTCTTTTTTGCATGACTTTTCCCGATTCTAACAGATTAGGGTATACTGTAGCCTGTGCTTTCGATTTGGTTATAAGAAACTTTTGTCCTCTCGATTATGAGCCCTTCGTGATGTAAGAAGTAGCACATCCGCGTACCAATCAGAATATCCGGCAAGGTCAAAGCTTATTTTCTCGTTTTCAGCTTCAGAGAAATCCAAAGAGTTCTACATTGTTTGCTGCTTTTTTTATAATATTTGTTGACTGAAATACATAAAACAGTTACTTGAGTTCATTATTTAACATATAGTTCATTATTTAACATATATAGCAAGTTTAAAATAATCATCTTGTTATAAATGACGATTGCAAACAACTTAATTATCACATATTTACCTGTGGTACATCAAAATAAAATTAAACGTTGGCTACGAAAATTTCTTGCACGTATTACAAATATTCTATGTGAAAATTTTGTCTACGACATACATCCAATCTTATAGTCCTGCGCAGAAAACGACAGTATGTATCCTACCTACTTTCCAAATCCGTCTAACATTAATTCTTGCAAAACATTTGGGAGGGGGGACGTATGTTAAAGATATCGTTTTTGTGCCATTAATGCCATTCGACTAAGATAAAATCGAAAGTAACATTATCAATATCTGTACGTCAGGTTCATGCAATATGCATTAACGCATCTCTTTTCAAATGGATTATACAGTGCGTAACAGAAGGATATCACAGCTAAAACATATATAGGCAAAGTTTAATTTCAAGTAACATAGATAAGTAATAATTAAATTGCTCACTATAACTATTTGTAATAGGACGATTATTGTTGAATTACACCATGTATTTACGCAATTTTACTTTTTTTATGCAAGCAATCAGTTTGCATTGGAATATTGGAGTAATATCCAGTATTACTTTGGTAACCTCCTAATAGATATTAATTTCTGATTCCCATTGACTTAGAACAAGGACATTACACTTTCATTTGGAACTTGAACGGTAGTTCTTAACATTCTTTAATCATTATACTTTCAAAATGCGTTTCTTAAACTATGACCTGGAAACAACTAGGACCATTGCAAGCTTAGGTGGTCTTTGAAGACAAAGCTCTCAAAACCGAAGTGATACATTACTCAAAATTTAAAAGCTTGTACAAAAAGCCAGGGACTCGGATACATCTCATCCCCACCACGAGCAGGGGGTTGAACTTCATTTCTCTCGTAGCACCCCCGTAGCGACAACCAGCGTTTAGAAGGACAGCTCAATCTTGGCTCAATGCCTGTGAAGCCCAAAATCCTGCAGACCTCCGCAGATTCCGATCATCATGTCCTGTCGGCTCCTCCAGAATGCGATTTAATTCCATATTTCTTTCAAAAACTATTTTTTTTTACCCCTTGAACCATATTTCTCACTCGAGAGTTTCGTTCTGTCACGGCCAGATACGATAAAAATATGCGAATGATTTTAAAATAGAAATAGAAGTGTTTGTTGGTGTTGGAAGCGATACTAGAGTAAGAAGTGCTAAGGTAGTAAGTCTTGTTGATTTTGGACGGAGTTCAGGAGAGTTTCGTCCCGCTTAATTAAAATTCGTCGCAGTTGTTTTGATAGTCATTCACTCACGCTGTTAAATCAAAGAGCGTAAGGTAATTTTACGATTTCATTCATAAAAAAGTGGTTCTCCCTCGTAAACTGGAATGTTAGACGCATAATGTAAAAAGTCAGGACAGGGGGGGACATAATTTACTCGCTCTACATAAAACTGCTTATGACATATTTTTCTCCACGAAAAAACGGAAATTTTTTTTTAAACCTAAAATCGATGAAAGATAAATTTCATATGTTTTTTAAATTGTAAATAATACATTATTTATCCGCGAAACAAAGTTTACGCTCTTATATATTTTTCAAGGGCAAAGAAGTAGTTAATAAAATATGAGCCGTTTGAACACTAATTTTACGTAGTTGTTTCATTGTTGTTTATAAATATCTGTGTTTATAATCCTCAAACGGAAAGAAACAAAATCATACCTCGAATGATGGAGAAGCCACATTAAAGGTGGTCAAGAGGTTAAAGCCTCTAATAAGGAAGTAGCATTTAAAATTTGGCAGAAAAATTACTTTAGACTGGCGCAGCTTCTGCAAAATACTCTTGTCACTTTTTAAATCGATTAGTCTCTTCTTCGGGAGGGAAGAATAATTTTGCAAAGACGAAAGGAGCGACAATTATTTCATACGAAATTCGCTGGTCGAAGCTAAGAGAAACCGAATGCCATGCTCTTCCAATTACATGTAATACATTTCCGTAAACAAAATATTGCACGAAATATGAATCTTTCTTAACAGCATTTTTAAATGACTTTAAAACTATAAGTAAAAAATACCTAGCATTTCAATCTTTTATAAAATGATAGTCACAAATGTAATCTTTAATATCAGATTCTTTCATGTCTAGAGCCAGTTTTAATTGTTTTCAAAAAATAAAAAATATTTATTTGTTTATATGAAAGAATGCATAATGTTTCAAAAATTAGTTATTTAAATTATTTTTAGAATCATAACTTAAAAAAAGACGTGATGCACCTAATATCATACGTTTCAAGTTTTCATAGCTGTAGTTTTATTTATTTTTATAGATACATATAAACTTTAATACCGAATTGAAATTAATTATTAATAAAGGTTTAACAGGAAAAATATGCAGCAAAATTAAATATTCTCTTTAGAAAACAGTCCTTTAAAAATTCAGTGTTGTAAAATATTTAATGAGATTTCTTCAGAACAGCAAAATATTTCAGCTTTGAGTAAACCAGAAAAAAAAAAAAAAATGCAATCAAAATCGTTCCTTTTTTTGCATTTTTATTCTCTGTCTTTTTCCCCCGTTCGAAACACTGGAACATCACAAAATTTTTATAGTTCTGCAATGTATTTAAATTCTAAACGAAATTTTAAAAAATACTGTAAAGTATAGCTCGACATCTTCATAAACATAATTTACTAAATACTTCTATTAAGATGTAAAGTTGACAGATATTGCTAGCAGCAATATCTGTATCATTACTTACAAAGTCTGGATGTTGTGCAAGGAGTTGAAGGTACCATTTGCCAAAGACTGAATATTGTTGTCGTATAAAGATCTAGAAAATGAAAACAATTGCTTGAAAATGGAAGAAAACAAACATAAAACGTAAATCAAACTTGATGTCAAAAGCATGAAATCTTCAAAAAGATAAATATCTAAGAGAATTTTAAAGAAAAATTAAAATATAACCCTAATACTTTTTTTACCAACAAACTATACATAAACAGGAATAAAAAATACTTTTTAATATAGTTTCCCATTGCGTTCAGTTCAGATACGTATCAATGCTTCAACAATGCCTCGATTTCCCAAGAAAAATATTTTCTTTGATTGACAACACTTCCGCTTTGTCTCGCTTTGTTATTTCATTGTCTGTACTGAATTTCATGCAAGTAAATACCTCCTTTGCAGATTCAGTCATAAACCTACCAAAACATTACTCCAAACACGACTCATGAGATGAATGTTAATTGGTTTATCATCATCATCATCATTACCCTTGTAGAGACATTAGAGACTTTTTTTTTTATGTCGGAACAAAACAAATGTGCAATGCCCTCGCTGGGACTCGAACCACAGACCTCTCGAATACTCATCAACCGTGCTGACCACTACACCACGAAGGCATGCTAAGAAGGAGGGAGAAATATCTTACACCCTAAAATCAAATAACTGCATATTGCGTATTTTCATGAATGCTTATAAGTGAGTGACCATTAGCAAGCATGGATCATAACAGTATATTTTCCATCGTCCAACAAACCTACATACATTCGTTCCCTAAAATAGAAGGCACAGCATATCTATCAATATAATATATGATTTTGAATCTCATCGTCATATTAAGATTACTTCTAGCATAGTAACGTCTTTAAATAAATTCTTAGTTATTTATGTAACTGAGAATAAAATATACTTTAATAAATTCTCAGTAATGTAAGTACGTTACTGTTCTAAAGCGTTAGAAGTAAACTTAATATGACGATGAGCCTCAAAATTATATATTATACGGTTAGCAATGCTTAAACCTTTTTTTGGGGGTGATGAAGGTATGCAGTTTTGTTAAACGAAACCTATCAATTAGAAATGAGAACTCCGTAAATAATTCCTCCATTTTCCGAACCTGGCATTTATGAATCCAAATATAAAGATATGCCTAGAAAACAAGGCCATCTATAATAGCAAAAAGGGAACTCAGTTTTCTCTAGACATGTTAGGGAGATATCATTCCAAACAATATTCAAAATGATAATTTAGACGAGAGCGCAACTTAAAGTCTTTAACGCTGAAAGTAGTAGAAGTTTGCCAGACAGAAGCATCTTTATTCGTAACCACCTCCCTCCATCGCCGACTCTCCCATTACAAAGACAAATTTCCATTCATAAGATATATTTTTATTTGAAAATAGCTGTAAATTCAGTTTGTTTTAATAGCTTTTATGTAAATTTCATGCTTTTATAGTTTATAGCAAAGTAAATATTGGTGCATGCTGTTTCATTTATAAAATAATTCATTGTAAATAATATACATATACAAGTGATGAAAAAGCTGATAAAAAAGCGAAAAAGATGTAGCAATGCTGATGGCGTAGTACGTAGAACTGCTAGAACGTAGATTCATACTGAAGAGGAAGAATTCTGATTGCATAGAATGCTAAAATGTTGCATTCGTAATGAACAGGAAACGTGGTCGCCCAGTAAGATTAAATCTTGATTTTTATTTCAAATGGCATTTCTGGCTACAAATTACTTGACACTCTAATTGTGCCTATTTCCAGAATATCTATGTTTTTGATACTGTAGCGATAGGAAGAGAGCGGGGAAAATGGTGTCTCAACAGCAAGACAGGCAGAAAGTAGAATGCGCAACTATCCAATATGGAAGCTCGCCAAGAGAAGGCTTTGGTTTAGGTTAGAAAGGTTTCAGTTCTCAAAATTTTGAGTTCAAGTTCTGAATTAGCTACGTCATCAGCGTTGAGCAAGCCATGTAATATAGATTAATCTAGAAATGACGCAGTCCAGAAAAGTTATTACTTTTGGAATACAGAGGGAAAATACCCAAATTAAAAATGAGGAATTAACGGGTTGTAATTAAATTAAATTATAAAGCAGATTTACATATTTTTTATCTTACGTGCATATAAAAATAACAAATATTGCATTTTCTTATTAAGTTATACTTAACAATTAACAAACTACACTTACACAAACTTCATATTCTCAAAGTTTAACGGAACGTATTCCACAGATAACTCAATGAATCACCGTATTAAAACTACACTCAGAGAATTTCTGTAATAAAATTATGTTCCAAGTCTGAATAAAAATATTCTCTGACAAATGCCTGAAATCATCATAAACTTAACTTTCTAAAATAAAATCGATAAACTACAGGAAATTTGACAAGACATCCAGAAAATTAGAATAACTTAATAATTAATAACAAGAAAAATCAGTGATTCATTAAGGGAAATTTACAATTAAAAATAACCACACATGAAAATTTTTAAACAGTTACTAAAAATAAATAAGAAATACAGAGCATTATGATTTTAATTCATAAAAATTTAAAACTATTATGCAACAAATTATGCAACAAAACATCTTAATTTTCCTACATAACAGCATATATTGCCATACAAATACAATAAATTATACTAATTGAAATTTTATGTTCTCCGTTTACATAATATTTTAGAGAGTTATTAATTTACCATATTTAATTACCTCGCGTAATTTCGAACAATGCAAAATGTATGCATAACTAAGAAAATATTTTGTCCATGGGTATTCTTTAATGTGTTATGTTTTCATTCAAGCCATTGCTTCAGAAATAGTATATTCTGAGTACAGTGTGTATTTTCTCAGTTTTCAGGCAGTAAAATTTTAAGGAAAAGGCGAATAAATACAGTATTTTATTTCATAAAAATATATAAATACGTAAATATTCAACAATTTTTTAAACCATGTTTCTAAAAATTAGAATTTTTTGTGCATTATTAAAATATATTATGCTCATTTATATCTATTTCGTTAGTATTTAGGCATATTTAATATTATATTCATTTCATACTAATTAAGCATTTTGATAGTGCAGTCAGTGGCTGGTGATTTTACTGCTATTGTTAGTATCTAATGATACATTCGCGCTACATTTCAACATAGTTTATGACCATGGCGGTTGAAAGAAAATTTCTTGCCTCTGGAGATGAGGCATTGTACCGCAAGCCAAGGTTAAGGCTTTCAACGCAATAATTCAAAGATTTCAAATTTATGTCAAAATGTTTCCAGGCGATCAGGGAGAACCGCGATGCCAATTCAGCATAACTTAAGACGAAACCGACGAATCACAGTGAAGTAGCAACTCTACTTCAGATAATTCTCAAAATATTCTACTCAGCGAACACGGTAGGTTTACTAGATCGTGATGCTTTAAATGAAAAGTTTTATTTATTTACATGCGGATGTAAAATAAAGAAATTTCAATATTTTGTTGTGTTAACAGCAGCCGGCGTAATAAGTATAGTGGCTGTTCTACCGATGGGGATAGGTTCGAATACCGTAGAAGGCATGAATGTTTTGCACGTGTATAGGGTCCGTGCATCATAGAGGCACTTAAAATATTGACCAGCCTAAAAGTCCTCTTGAGGGTTTGTTGGTAGAGGTAAAAAGGTGGAAGTTAGTGCAGTGGGACTATAATTGTACGGCCAATGGCGAAATACTGGTATCTCGTCCAATTATACCTGTATATGTACCTGTATTATTAACAGGTCGTCTTTGTCATTAAACATTAAAAAAAATAATGCTTAAAATATTTCTGAAAAATAAAATTTACTTGGATATACTTACAAGAGATTGAGATTCTGCAAATCGCTGAATGTCTCTTTCCGCAGACAGGATATCTTATTTGCGTTCAAAAGC